ATGAACAAATTAAAAAATATATATAAATGTATGTTTATACTATAATTATTATAAAAAATTAACCCCTTACAATGAAAATCTGCAGATTAGTTTTTCACCCTAAGGGGTTATTTTTTTTTTAATTTAACCCCCTCTTGACGGCATTGTTTAAAGTATGTGGCTGTCCCTAAGCGTGACAGTTACTAACCCTTCATGACAGTGTGACATTCTAGGCCACCTAACCAAACCATTATTAGTTTTTTTTGAAAAAAAAAATAAAATGTAAGCTTTTAGTTTTAGGCTGAAAAGTACAGAAAGATTTCTGAAATCCTAGAGATATGAGGTGTTTCCAAATAAAGGACAAATAGATGCATTTATTTGAATTAATTTTTTTTAGCTGTACTTTTTAGGAAAAAAAAAAAATCAAAACTGGGGAAAAAATGATTTCTTTAAATTTTTTCCTCTTTTTTTATATGTTATTCATACTAAGTGAGGCATTAGGCACACATATGTGATATAAATATATAGTCCTACCTGTCCTCTAAAAAACAATATATTATATGTGTGGGTGCACTTAGTAAGAAAGTATATTACTGCTGTGGAAGAATCACACAGCAAAAATTAAAAAAGTGCTTCAGTCATTTACGAACAGAAACTGAAAAAAAAGCTCAGTCATAAAGGGGTCAATCTAATTATGACGTCACACACTCATATCACCTTACTCCAATTTACTCCAAATTACCTGAAGAGGGCAATGTTGGACTAGAAATAATTTAGGATTTTTCCTTAAACTTCCAATATTATTCCATGAGATTACCTCTGACCTAAGTTCACAATATAAGGAAATAATCAGATATCTTGACAGAACTTGTCAGACTTACTGTCTCTTTAAGAGAAGGAGCAAGAAAAACAAAAAATGTCTTCCACATACACTGAGAATGAAGTCATTTGTACTAAGGCAGTGGTTAAAGGAGAACTATGAGGTGAGTGCTTTTCACTCACCTGATAGTTCTAGCCGACCTGTGACAATGAGACTGTCACAGGTCCCTTCTATGGGACACAGAAGCGATCTGGCGACAGGTAAGTCGCCAGAATCGCTTCTGTTGTAAAGCCGACAGTCGGCTTTACAAGTTTAAACAGAGTCTCGGCGGCAATAGCCTCCGGGAGTCTGTTTAAACAGCCCCGATGCTGGCGACGTACACTGTACGTCGTCAGTCAAGGAAGGGTTGGAGAAGTTTCCATTTTTCTCCTGCGTTAGAAGGGTGAAGAAATGAACATTTGCAACAAAGCATAGATAGTGGTAACATAGTAGCTTGTAAGGTGACTTGCAGGGAGCCAAACTGTGTACGAACAGCATGATGATGAAGAAGGAGGTATTTGTAAAACAGTGTCAGGAAATTTGTACTTGGACTTTAGGGGCGGAAAGTAATGGAAGATTCCATCACAGAATAGTTGAAAGGGATACTTAATTCCCTTCTTAGCTCACCAAACCATATCAGGATTACCATATAACTTGTGAAAAGAGGATTAAACCACAGGGGAGAGTTTGGGGAATAGGTAGAAGTGCAATATTTCAACTCCTTCCTGGCCCTGTGCCAAGCCAACACTGACTTATCAATTGGAGAAACATAAGATAAAGAAGTAAGTTGAGATCTGTATATCAGATTCCTGAGTTGTTTCAGAAAACCAACAGAGGCAGCCGCTGTAGCTGTAGCTTCATTATCTGGGGAGGACGACGTCCATTCATGAACAAAAGTGAGCTGGGAAGCCAGGAATGCAGGGCATAGCATAGCGACTATAGAGTTGTTAATGTTCAACCGCCCCAGATCTCAAACTTTCCGCAGAATGTAATCCTGATCCCTATAATTGAGAAGGTGTTTTATCATGGGCCGCGGGTGGAGAGCCTGGAGGAGGTGGGCGAGCATGAACCCTGTGAGCGCGTTCAATGACAAAACAGGAGGATAAGGCTTCTGTAACAAATTCAGTACTGAACCAGTGTTCAAGGAGATCTGATGGGCTGAATGTTGTTGTGGCGAAGCCTGTTTTACAGGTTATCAACCTTGTCGGCAAGATATAGTCTGCGTTCTAACGTGGTACACTCATCAGGGAGAGGTTTAACCATCACATCCACCTCCTCAAGGTGACGCTCCACAGTGGTAGTATGGCCCCTGATTTTCTGCAAGTCAGTGCGTAGGATGTTAAAATTCACGAGGGTCCCCTCGCCTTTCCCCATCAGCACAGCATGTGAAGAGTGAATCGTTAATAGGACCTCCAATAACGTGGGCTCTGGGTCACCCTAATACATTAATGTTTATTTGACAATAAATCTGACCATCTCTCCTTGTTACACTGCAACCTAACCAAACTGCTTGCATACTGCACTAAACAATAGTTGTGGCTACTGTCTCTCAGATAATACACTAAATTGTATTGGAAGAAAAAAAACTGCCTTGTCTCTTTAAGTTTACTGTCGATGTATATGCTCACATACTGTCCTGAAGCTAGCAAATTTCTACCAAACATACCTGAAGACTATATTTTGAATATTTTGGAGATAACTAGTGATACATAGATGGGAGGGGGTTCAGGGAACGTGGGGTTGTGGTTTTTAAATGTTTTTGTACACACTGTTTTCACATTTTATTTAACCTTTAAGGCAATTCAGTGCAAAAAAGAAGCTCATAAACTATACTATGAAACTGGCCAGATCATACAAAGTTGAGGGCTTTATGTTTATTGTTTGAAAAGTACACTTTCTTACAGCTTTTAGAACTTTTGCTGCTGCTACTTCCACCATTCAATTCAGGCCTTTTTCCGCTGGATAAAAAAAAATCAGGTACTGTAGCCAAAACTACTTTTAAAAAAAAAAGCCTTTTTTTTTTACATGTAATGAATCAGATTTGGATGCTGCTGCTGTATTTAAGCCAAGCTATAAGCAAATTTAAAAATTAATTAAACATTCCCAATATACTATATGATGCCAGAGTATGGTGACCCTGCACTGTCTGTGAGAATTGTTCTGTCCCATACCACCAGACCCAGCTTAAATGCATCTCCCAAGTACATCATTGAAAGGATTAGTGTTTTTCCCCTGTTGCTCTTTAAGTTGCATAAGAAGGAGGACCCACACCCCGAAATATACATAATTTTTTACATTTGTAATTTTTTTTGCATTAGTACATGTCACCTATAGTAGTGCCCAGATCCCTATACTGTTTTTTTGTTTTTTTTTTACAATGCCATGCCTAGTCGCCTTGCAAGTGGGCAAAATTAATCATCAAGATTCAACGCCCCCATAAATTTCAATGGGGTTCAGTTTTAAAAGAGAAGAATGATCAAACCTTTTTTTTTTTAGTTCTTCTCTTGTGAGTCATAAGAGTACATTTACTAAAAGAACATTTACAAAAAGCCGGAGCCAGCTGCACCTGTCCTCTACTTAACCTGTCAATTCAGTGAGCACTTCAGGTGCAGAGCAGGATGCAGTAACTGACAGTTACTGTTCTCTACTGGGAGCAGACCAAGAGCTTATTGATTAGTAGTCATGTGATTTATCAGCTCTTGGTCTAAAGGTGGCCATACACTGTACAACCATCGCAAGACCTTAGTCTTGCGATGGTTGTAAAATGATTAAAAAAAACCCTGAGGGGCGGGCTTCCGATGACCGCAATACTGAACGGGCAGTGTGCGCGTGCGCACACCGGCCCGTTCGGCATTTGTCTCTCGAGCACTGTTCAAACCAGCCGAAAATCGTACGATTCTCGGCTGGTTTTCTAACATGCTCCTTAGACAAAGACGTACAACCGTACATTAGAAACGGTCGCATGTCTTCGTTCACACTGTTCGATTCTCGTACGATCGTGGGATTTCCCACGAGAATCGAGCAATGTATGGGCACTTTAAGAGCTAGCGTGTGACAGCTGCACAGTGTCACATGGCTGCTGCAGCATGGAGGTGGGTATGTATGTTTGTATTTTATTAACTCCACAATTCTCCTTTAAGCTTGCAATTTTCAGACTTTACCCTGGGTTCAATGAATCCCCATGAACCCATCCCATAGACATTCACAGATACCTACTGTTGAAAACTTATTTCACTACAATAGACAATGCTATCAATGAAACATACTTCATTAAAGTCTCTAAATGGAAGCTACAAAAAGATACATTAAACATAGACTATGGTATAGGATAAAAGCATTACTTTTCAAAGCATGATCAACTTAAGATGTTAGTATATTTTGATTAGGCTAATATTAAAATGTATTCTAATATTTACGGGTAGTGCAGTTTTCTAAAGCAGAACATGACATTAAAGTGGACCTTTACCTTTACCTGATTTAACATCATCTTACATTCATTAGTTAAAAAACTTGTTTTCATTTACTTACAAATGGAGTTCATCTACTTCCTGGTCCAGTTCTGGCAAAATTATGTGAGTGCCAAAGTGTTGAATCCTGGGAAGGTTACATTAGCAGAGCATTGCTGGGAAATCTCATCTCAGGGAAAGGCATTTTCCTCCCCTGAGATGATGCACATGGTCACATGTCTAGTCATATGTGCCAGATTTTAAGGAAGTTAAGGGAGAGCTAGTAGCGTGCAATCAGTTTACATGGCCACTGCCAGAAGACTGGGAAAGAAAAGAGAAATAAGGTATGCAAAGAATACAAAGCTGGCAATTATCTAGAAATATGTGTTTGTAGATTGTCATTGCTAAACATTTCTCAAGGTGTTTTGTTGTTATTTTAAAGATATGGGTAAAGGTCCACTTTAATGAAGACTTATGACCTGTATTATAATGTGTAAAAAGCATCCAAGGTAGGTTATATAATATGCAAGTGCTTTTTATTAGGTGTATAGAATGATAGAATGTTTTTTTTCTACATAAACCTGCACACATGAAAACTAAAATCACAACAAATACTACACTTAAATTAAGTTATTGTGCATTATTATGGGCTGTTTTATTGCATTTATTTAGGAGTCTTATGGAACCTGTCTTCGTGTGATGCTCTTAAAATGCCAATTATTCAAGATGCCCTCACAGTGTTGACCAATGCAGTGATTATCCCTCATTCTGGGTGGGAAAACACTATCTTACAGGATGATCGCAAAATACAGTTACATTCATCACAGGTGCTGCGCAATGCCACTGGGTGCCTAAGGTAAGTTTTGAAAATAAATAATGAAAGTATTTTTAATGTGCATTTATTTTTTATATGTAGTTGTACTATGCAATCCACTATAAAAAGAACTGTAGATTAAAAACAGACATACCATTTTATATACAGCGTTTTGACTTCATAAAAACAAGCAAAAAAGTAAAATATTTTGGTCACTACTAGTGTAAAACATGTAAATGAATAGCGTCCTGAGTTCAGAAGCTGCAATACTGAATGCTGTACACCCAGACCATAATCATAGGTTATGGGCACTTGAGATCAGAGAACCCAAGCGCAGCTACTTTTCCTCATTTTTACCAGCTTGTTGTATGGTGCAACCATATTTTTATCTGCTTTTCAGAATTATTTGAAAATTATACTTCTAATCCCAAATATATTATTTCAGAACAAATAATATTAATCTCCAAGCATATTAGGGTAAACCTCACTTATATCTCTTCAACTGTAGTTATTGTATTTGTTTATATACAATCTTTCAGCTTTTTTTTTAGTCATAGATTTTTTTCTGTTTTATATCATTTAGGGATGCACCGATACCGTGTATTTGGGGAGAGTACCCATATTCGCCCAAATGCTCCCTATCCCGATACCGGAACTTCCGGTATCAGGAAGCCAGACGGTGTGTAATGACTCGTCACCCGGCTTCCTGATTGGTCGGGAAGTCTGGCCAATCAGGAAGCCGGGCGGCGAGTCATTACCTGCCCCCCAGTTTCCTGATTGGCCAGAAAACCGGCTCCATGCTTCCTTGTCATCTGGTGTCGAGGGAGCATGGAACTGGCTTCCTGGCCAATCAGGAAGTGGGCAGCGAATCATTAACCGCCCTCAGCTTCCTGATTGGCCAGAAAGGCTCCTTGTGACGAGGGAGCATACACACTGCCCAGGTTCCCAGCTGATCAGGAAGCTGGGCAGCGAGTCACTACATGCCGCTCGGCTTCCTTAATGAGACTTCTGGCATCGGTATTCGGTATCGGCTCCATACCGAAAAACCAGTATCGGTGCATCCCTAATATCATTACAAAAGCAAACCTGTGTGGCTGGGGTTAGTATGAATCCTTTCAACACCAGAGGTCATTGGTTCCTAGATGCTCACGCCAAACTTTCCATCATGTGTCGGTTAACTTGACAATAGCTTTATAACTAATTTGCTTATTAGACTTTTCTTCAGTACATTGTTTTAATACAAACCCTGCCACAAAACCAATTTCTTTGTTCTAAAAATGCACAAAACAATTATACTGTTCAATTACACTGTAGATGTATTGTTTTTTGGATGTAATGTAGATGCCAAGGCAGCTTGAAGGTGGCAGTGTTATTATTCTTACTAGCAAAATTGTACCCATACCAGAATGTGAAACATTACAGATATTACAAACAATGCTATCGAAGTATCTCAGTGGCCAGCATGTCAGGCATAGAATGTGGAGGGTATGATGGCAGCATGTGTATAAGGCGGTGTAGGTGAGAACCATGGCAGTGGAGATGTGATTATTAACTAAATCTGCAGCATTTTGAACAAAGCACAGCAGTGCATTGGAGGCAGGTGAGGCAGAGCCTCACCTAGTATTATGGGGGAAAAAGCTGTCAGCTTCAAGTCTGAAGCTGACAGCTTTTTCTCCATTCAGAGTGGCTTCTAGCAGGTTACATAGTAGGGAAAGCCTCCCCGCTGTGTAACCTGTCATGGATGGAGCACTGCCTGTTAATTACATGCAGCGCTGCATCCAGCTTTTGACAGGTAGTTAGGTTACACAGCAGTGGGCTTCCCCACTGCTTGTCTAACCTAACTAATGAGGCAAGAGCTGCCACAGCCTCTACTCTGTGTTAGAGGCGTAAGCTCTGTGGATGGCTTGGACCAATGGCAAAGCGCCATTGGTCCAAGCTGTCCAATCAAAAAAAGAAAAAAAACTCCACTGAGACCATCCATCTCAATGCCTCAGCAGTGACGAGCTAGTGAGGGACAGTGAGGCTTGTCCCGGTCTCCTCCCTTCCTCCTCCCTCCCTCCCTCCTTCACACTTGCTTGGGGACCGAGTTGGGGGTTTGGGCTTCGGCAGGTTCGGGGGAGGGCTTTGGCGGGCTGCGGGGCGGGATGTGCTGGGGAATGCCTCACCCGGAACCAAAGGTACCGCATGTCACTGGTGCACTGCTTTCCTGGACATACTGCCCACTGTCACATCCTCTACACTAGGGATGCACCAATACTAGTATCAGTATTGGTGCCGATACCGAGTATTTGGGCGAGAATGCTCCCGATACCGGAATTTCTGATATCAGGAAGCCTGGCTGCGAGTCATTACACGCCGCCCGGCTTCCTGATTGGCTGGGAAGGTGGCTTCATGCTCCCTTGTCACTTGGTCACCAGGGAGCATGAAACCGGTTTCCCGGCCAATCAGGAGGCCGGACGCAGGTCATTACCCGCCCCCGGCTTCCTGATTGGCAAGAAATCCGTCTCCGTGCTTTCTCGTCACCTGGTGATGGGGTAGCAAGGAGACCGCTTACCGGCTCATCAGGGAACTGGGTGGCGAGTCTTTACACGCCACCTGGGTTCCCAGCTAATCAGGAAGCTGGGCGCTGAGTCATTACATGCCGCCCGGCTACCATAATGGGACTCTCGGTATCAGCGAGGACCGGGGAAAAAAATATCGGTACTCGATACTGAAAAAACATACTGCTCACTGTCATGCCTTCTGTCTGTTGTCATACTCTTCCCTCTCCTATCTTCTCCTGCGCATACTTCTTGCTGTCATGCCCTCTGCGCCCTCTTCTGCACATACTGCCTGCAGTGAAACCATTCACACTCCTCTCCTACATATATTGCATACTGCCACATCCTCCATATTCCTCTTCTGCACAAAGCAGCCACATGCCTTTTGCAATTCTCTCCTGCACAAACTGGTCATCAAGATACTTCTATAGCAATTTGCTAGCATGGGGACACTTTTGACTGTATCATATATAATAGAATAGGACACTATTTAATTGGAAATACTGCTCACAGCTTACACAGCTAGACAAGTAATATTGTATAGGTCAGCAATGTCAGCTTCCATATTTTTCTCAGTATTGGTCTCTTTTAATATACTATTATATTATTCATTAGCAATTGATGTGGTTTCTCAGTTTGCATTTACTGATTCTCAGTTTGCATTTGAGATTTTGAGGTACCATAGCTAAGCCATTCACATTTGTAACAAATTTTATCCTGTTGCTGTTGTCATACAGAAATTGTAGCCTGAAATATTCTCTGGAGTGGAGAACCACCCTGATTTTACGTTGCATTTCTGGATCAAGTAAGGTTTTGTTTAAACCCCAACCAAGTATTTACTGATAAAGTTGATTCTGTTTGTTACAACACCTCTCCCTACCATGACAGCCGGTGCTTTGGAGAATTTACTCCAGAGAGAATTAAAAAGTTTGCAGCGGAGCCCTTGATGTCACAGCTCAGACAGGTATAGAGGAATATCCCTTTGCTGAGGTCAACAACAAGAAGGCCTTGTTCACACCTAGGCATTTTTGAGCAGTTGGAAAAGCGCTTTTAAAAGCCCAACACTAAAAATCCCATGATTTTCAATGGCCCCTGTTTACACCTGCGCAGCAAAACGCCAACAGGAAAACGCCCGAAAAGGTACATGAGCTTCCATCCGCAGTTAACAGTGCGTTTTTGCCCCATATACTTCAATGGAAACACCCGAAAACGAGCGGCAGAAGCATGTTGCACATTTTCATGAGCGTTTGTACGTGCGTTCGTCTATTGCCTACAATGCTTCTTAAGCTGCCAGTCAAAACGTCTGTCTTCATGTAAACAAGCATACAAATGTGCATATAAACATGCAAAAAAACGCACACTGAACATGGGGGTACAAATGCGCAAAAACTATGCCGGCTAGGTGTGAACCCGACCTAAAGAACCTTGTAGTAGAGTTTTGTGGAATCGCATTTTCATATAGAGCTATAATGTTCAAATCCAACAAAAAAATCAAATCATGTTCAATACAGATGTGGTAATAGTTTTCTATTTATACAATAGAAATTGTAGAATGTTCATGCCAATGTGCTGGTTACTACTTTAGAGCCCTCTTTATATCCTACCCTCCCTCTCAAAGGTCTCATTGCACTGGGAAATTCATATTTGGCAATAACCGTGTATGTCATAGTTACATAGTTAGTCAGGTTGAAAAAAGTCCATCGAGTTCAACCTATATATGTCAATAGTCATATATATTTCTATTCCGTACAATGAAGGATACAGTGACAAAGATTGTAGATCTGGAACCATAGGGTATTGCGCCACCTCCAGGAGAAGGACGCTAGGCACAAAACAAAAGACAGCCTAGGCAACCTCTGTTGGTGACCAACCCCCTGCCTGCTGAGCAACTCTCCAGTTTTGCCTAGCGTCAGGAATAAGGAGCTTAGAAGTTTTTTCTCTGGAATTCATCACTATCTTTTTCCTTCGTTCTTGATTGGATTTTCAAGCAAGTACCATCTGGGTGACACGCTGGATGATTGAAGATCCTTGTAGTCCTACCCTGTACTGCCTTCATGTGCATGCAGACTCTGCTATGGTGGGTTGGCTGCGACTACTCCATTTTCATGGAGTGACCTGTGGTATTGTTCCCAGTGGGGTACATATGACTGGGGGTCTTGGCTGCCCAATCACAGTACCCCACACAGGCTGGCGGTGGACTTTCCTATCTACCCACCTCGCGATGACATCTCCCTGGCTGCGGGTCCTGTCGTTGCTCCCCAGGGTCAACTACCGGCAATGGTAAGTATGGACTGGGTATCTGCTGCAGCTCCAAGCGCCAGGCACAAGTGGTGCTGTGGAGACTTTTAGCCTTTGCGGCTTGGCTGCATATGCAACCTGTTGGTCTTCTGGGGGTCTCTAGTGGGGCCCAAGTCAGGCTTTCATACTGGGGCGGTTCCCCTTTTAATCTGTGATCGGTCTGGTTCCTGCCCGCGCTAGCCTGTTTTGCTGCTCACTTGGTGA